AATGGTTGAACTAGGAAGTTTGCCTTGTTCTCGAAACTGCCCAAGGAACTCTGAAATCTGCCCCATTTGCTTCTCCAATTCATCCACCTTTTTGGCTTGATTTTGCATTGCTTGGGTTTGATTTTGGACTCCCTGTGCCAAAGTGGTTAATAATTGAACAATTTGATCATTATCCATAGACGAACGTGTTTTTGATTGGGCAGATTGTGGTTGGTTTTGAATTGGTGCGTATGGCCTTAGAAACATCCGAGGGGGTGGTAGACGAAATCCCCCTTGTTGTTGAGTTTGTTAAGGCTCCCTCCACTTCATATTTGGATGATCTCTCCACCCCGGATTGTAAGTGTTGGCATATGGATCATGCCTAGGTTGATTTTGGCCTTGATAACCCACGTCATTGGCAGATTCCTATCCTCCATTCTCAATCAATTGAGGGCATTGCTCAAAGGGGTGTCCTTGCATGGTGCACATGCCACATACACTAGCTTTTTGCACTTTGGATCCATTAACAACCTGTGACACAAGAACAGTGAGATTAGCTAATTGAGATTGAATTTCAGAAATTACACTTACCTCATTCACTTGTTGTTGCCGTGGGGGGTCTCTTTGTCCAACTCCCTTGTATTGTTGTGCATTCACGGCTCGATTTGCAATTAAGATCTTGGCAGCCACCGGTGTTTTGTTAACCAAAGCACCCCCTGCCGAGGAATCTAGCATTTGTCTCTTAATTGGAAGGAGTCCCTCGTAGAAATATTGAATTAAAAGCTCTTCCTTTATTTGATGTTGAGGGCATGATGCAACTAGAGTGTTGAAACGCTCATAGTATGTTGGAAAAGACTCCACTTGGTTTTGTTGAATGCCACTAATTCTCTTCCTCAAGAGAATGACTCTCGAAGTTAGGAAAAATTTTCTCTAAGAATGCTCTCTTCATGCTTTCCAAGAAGTGACGGTTCCAGGTGCCAATTCATAGAGCCAATCCTTAGCCTTTTCCAAAAGAGAGAATGGAAAGGCTTTCATCTTCAAAATGTTCCCATCGACATTGATAGGTGTCATGCTTGAACATACCACTTCAAACACCTTAAGATGCTTGTTTGGATCTTCCATGGACATCCCATGGTATTTAGGAATGTGATGCAACAAGCAAGACTTTAATTCGAACTCATCGGTCTTGCCTTGAGTTGCCCTAGGATATTGAAATGCATAAAGGCATGGCATTGTCTAATCTTAAGGCTGAAGTTCCTTGATTGTTTGATTATCCATAGCCATGACTTGTTCTTCTTCTTCACTTCTTCTTCTTCAGATTCGGCCTCAGAACTAGGTGGACTAGGTTCTGAATGCCTCCTCTTTCTTCTCAACGTTCGTTCAAAGTCGTCGTCAAACTCCAATATATGCTCACAAATAGGTTGAGAATTACGAGTCATAAACTAGTACCTATAACAAAGCAAACAAACAAGATAAAATCAGAAAACAAAATAAAAACACCCGGACAGAAAAGAAAAGACACACGACAATAACTAGGGGAAGATTAGCAATTTTGCTAATCCCCAGCAATGGCGCCAAAATTTGATGTGAAAATTAACTTGACACACAAATTAAACCCTAATGTTGACAATTGTAGTATATATGTAAGTAGGGATTGTTCTAGATCGGGGATTAACTAGGGATGCTAATCAACTTCAAACTGACTCAAAAACACAAAACTAGTCTTAAAAACACTTAACTAGACTCAAAGAACTCAAAACAAGCTAAATAGACTCAAAACACACAAACTAAGTTGAATTGACTCAAAAAATGTCCTAGAAAGTGATTTGGACGAAAATTGAACTAAAAAGACTCAAAAGACTCAATATGGACAGATTCTGATGAATTGAACTAAACTAACACAAATAAGAACTAAAATGTTATTTGGACGAATTTTAAACTTTACTTGACTCAAAACACTAATATAACTAAAACAGATTCTAACTAAGTTCGAACACAAAATACTAAAGGGGGATTGGTTTTGACAAATTTAAGACTCAAACAAACAGATTGCATAAACAAACTAAAAGGTACGAAATTAAGGTGAATGAATGGGTGAAAGGCTAGTTAGAGGGTCCTTCTCCACACATGACATATGTATATAAACCAATTTCCAGTTATTATTCCTTTAGACTATGAATGACAATACCCCAAATTAACCGTGAAAAACACAAATTAACTTTCAGATTTTCCTTAACTCATTGAATTGGATGGAATACGCATCGTAACCAAATTATCCTTATCAAGTTCCCTAACTATGAAAAGCATGATAGAAAGACATATCAAAGGTCATTAAGTTCTTTGAAAACCGTCCGCATTGACAAGACACTTGTAACTATGAAAAGCATGATACTCATACCAAGGATTTACTTAACACAATCATGACTAGTGACTTCCACTACTTGTGAATATAAGTTCATAACAATTAGGTGAAACTCCCTTATACTCTAGCATCAAATTCATGAATGCAAATTAAGTGTTGACCCTCAATCAACATACATAAACAAGTTTTGATAACTTAGATAAGCAAATCACATTCAAGAATTAAGAAACAATAACTAGATGTAATCAATTCATATAAAACATATAATGATGGCTTCGAATTCACCTCCAACTATAATGAAATTAGTTCCTCATGTTCATCATAATTGAAAACCAAATTAAAATAAACATTGAACTAAAACTAAGGATAGAAAGAACCCAGAAACACTCCACACTCCAATGGCAAGCTTGCGGCACTCCCTTGGATGGCAGATTGCACAACAATCTTTTTCTCCTTCCTTTCTTGCTGCGACACTAGGGTGAATTAGGTGTTTGATGGCTGAATGAATGAACGAATTAGTGAGTGAATGGATGGTAGAGCTGTTTTTTGCGGCATAAGCAAGTATATATATGTATGAAGCACGGCAAACCCTAGGGAAAATCAGACTAGGGTTAGAACTTAGCAGAAATAAAGGATTAGGGCCTTAGGGTTCGGCACAAGGCTTGGGCCTCAAGAAAAGGGTCAAAACCTAATTAATTTCTGAAAAGGCTTTTGCACAATCCAAATCCACAAGGAAAAAGGCCAATTCAATTTAGATTCCAAGAGGAAAAAGGGACACAAGGTGCGGCACAACCCTTGGATTTAGGAATAGGCCTTCTAGAAAGGGTATTGTGGCAAATTTCTAGAAGGAAAGGCATAAGGGTGCGGCAACCTCTTAGGAGAAGGATAGGGCTTCTAGAACCATATATTTAGGTGTTCTAATGTGAAATTAAGTCCTCATTGCAGCTGGAATTAAGGTAGCAAAAGATTAGGATAGGATAAGATAAGATAAGGTTTGGATAAGATAAGGTTGTTTGGATAATATTCCATGTTTCTTGCTTTTTCCTTATCTTCTTTGTCTTGAACTTGTTTCTCCAGATTTGTAGCATGTTCCGAGCCTCTTTTGACTTCAAATTTGTCCATCCACCTTGCTCCATATGCAAGCTATCCATTCCATGGCCAAAATTTCCCCAAATAGCTCCAAAATGCACTTTTTTGCTTCTTTTGCCATTAGGACCTGCAAACACACAAAAATAGCTTAAAACACTATAATAAATGGAAACTAACTATGTAAATGCAAAAAAACAAGCTAACTAAGTCGTATAAACATGCTCCTATCAATGTAATAAAAATTTATAGAGAATAGTCAATATAGATATTAAAATCCTTACAGAAGGAACTCATGAGATTAACTATATAGGTGTAAATGTAGGATTTTGCAACTTTGGTGTCTTTTCAGCAACTCTAGAGATCAACTCTAGTTCTGATCAGTGCCTTTTAAGATTCAATACCCAACTACGCAGATCACAAATTCACATGCAGATAATATCAATTAACATACAAGTAAAAAAAAAAAACAAATTGAAACAAAGGACTTTCAATCCTAAGAAGCAACTTTTAAGAACCAAAACCACTGACCAAGACTAAAATTTCACATACAGAATTAAACCCAATTCATGAAAACACAATATATGATCAAAACCTCATGACATTCAAAGAACAAGAGGCTGCCATGGTAATCCCTCATTAGCTATTACCTAAGCATCAATATATTAATTGATACCCATGATTTTGCAAGGAAAAATCAATCATCATACTTCAAAAATCCAGAAATTGATTAATGAAAACCCATTATTTCATCAAAACAGTGGTCACATGAACAATTGAAAGGCACCCAGACAGTTAAATTACACATTTAATTGGAAAAATCAAAATTATTGATGCTTGAAAAACCAATCAAACCAACTTTATGTAAGAAAAAATGTGAAGAAATAAAAGCAGAAAAAATACAGTAAAATGGCAGAGCTCAAGACATAATTGAGAATGGCGGAGAAACAGGATAAACTAGAAGAAGCCATGAAGCATAAAAGATTGAAGACAAAGTAGAGAGCAAGAGTACGAGAGGAGGCAGAAGCAAGGAGAACCAGAGAACGGCGTAGAGCGTGCGAGAGTGTGAGACAGGGAGAGTCAGTGAGGGTTTTTTTGGTTATGTCCATTGAAATTACACAAAAGCCCTCAATAACTGGTGTTAACGGGTTGGTGGGTTGATCCAAAATGACCCATTGTTTAACGGATAATTAATGGGTTCACCCGTTAGCAACCTGATGCGTTAAGCACCCACCCAAATACTAGTTTTAGATGGTTGGGTTAGGTTGGGTTAATGGGTCGGGTCTAAAATGTCAGGTCTACGTTGTGCGATGAGATTAGTTCTAAATCTTATCAGAAATTTATCCATAAAATTCTTTGCAGAATCATGACATATGGCGCTACGGAATTGGTACAAATTCTACTTAAAAATCGATCCACAAAAATTGTACTTTTGGATAATGACACGTTACGTAAAAAGATTGGTTAAAAATCATATCCAAAATTACCATATATTTATTTTTTCATTATTTTATAAAAAAATTAATAATACTTTAATACGAATTGACTAGGATATTCAGTTTAGGGGTGAAGATGCACTTGGGCAATTACTATTTATTGCAGTCAATTACTATATATAGCAATCAATTACTATTTATTTGGGCGGCTTGGATTGACTATTGCCCAAGGGGTTTTTAGGGGCGAACTTGCTCTTATAGGCATAAATATTCTCCTTAAGTCCTTAAATGAGTACTCGAAAGTGATGGTGTTGGAGATGCTCTTAGAATCATGATCGGTAAAGTTCTACAGAAAACTAGACGTCCAGTTTCCACACATATGTGGCACTAAACCGAGTTCAACCTGAGGAAATTTTGACAATCCCTGGAGTGAGGCCGTTCTTCACATGATTTTCCACAAGTTGCACATTGAACATCCAATTAGACACCAATGATTTGTTGGAATACTTTTTATAGACTTCATTTCTTCCTAGCTCTGATCCTTTTAGCCTGAAAATCACGAAATAGCTCCAAAGTCATCTCTAGGGTCGATTATAAGCACTCATTAATAGACACATCAAACAACCAATTTAAAAAAAAAATGGTAGCATAAAATTTAGGAAATAAAAGAATAATATAGGTGTAATTATGATGTCAACAAGAACATAAGAAGCAACAGCTTGGTTTGAAGGAAGAAGACGACAAAAAAAATGAAGTGACCTAGGGTTTGGACATGGACAGCTCGCAGCTTGGCTCGGCTCAAAGCCACGTCTCCTGTGTGATTAGGGGTTTTCAAAAAAATAAAAAATTTCCGATTCCCATACATATGATGCTAGGAAGATCAAAATTTTAAACTAATTTGCAAGTCAAATGATGTGTTACCAATAGGAAATAAGCACGCTAATCAACACTTAAGTAATAACTCAATCATCTATATTCACACTATTTGATTTACAAAATTTGGTTTAGAAATTTGAACTCCCTAGTTTTACCCTTCCCAGACACTTGTCAACAAGAAATTGGTGTATATCAAATCATATTAATCACAGTAGGATATATAGTTTGAAAAGTAAATTAGACTTTTTTTTTTTTTTGAATTTTTAATTTTTTTGGAGAAAAGATCGATGGATTTCTTTGAGGAGTGCAGAAGGAAAACAACAAAATAGTTACAGGGCAGCGTTTGCCAAAAAAAAAAAAAAAAAAAGTAGTTACAGATCAGCTTCCTCAACTAGTAGGTCTGAAATGAGGTCTGGTGGAACCTCAACCCAAGTACCAATTAATTCCAAAACAAAGGGCATAGTGCACTAGGCGATGAGCAATGCCATTGGCTTGACGATGGACATGGGTAGAAGAAACTCCAGTGACTGATGCAATCAAAACTTTCGTGTCTTCGATAATATGCCCAATCACAGACAGTTTAGGAGAAGGATATGTTCTTCAATAATTATCGTTTAAACCATCACGTTCGTGCTAATAACGTATTGTGGATTAATATGCCGAAATAATGGGGAAGTTTGATATGAATCCAATTTTGTGAGCCATTATTAAGTACAATCGAGTATTTGTTTGATTATTAGGTTAAGTCAGATGACTCATTAGGTTAAATGCCCCTAAAATAATTAGAAAGTGGTGGAAAGAGGGGGATGGATATAGAGAAGGGGTTTAGCTGTTTGTGAGATGTGTATTTTTTTTCTGGCCTTGTGTCTTTATTTCTACTCATCATTGCTAGGTTTTCTTTAAGTCTTAATAATTGGACAGATGTCCTAGATCTTATTGGATTCTACTTAATTTTGCAATCACATTCCTAAAATAACTCTATTCGCGACAATATACAAGATGTTTACTATCACTTTCAAATAAAAGCTTAAATGAATAAGGGCTCATTTGGAAGTGCATTTAAAATTACTAAAAGTGCTTTTAGGGAAAATGTTTCTGAGTTCCAAAGCACTTGAAGTGCTTTCTGCAAGTGCAAGTAACAGTTATGTACATCTTCCAAGAAGCATTTGAAGTGCTTCTTTAAGATTTAAGTATTTTTACTTAGAATTTGTTTGAAACACATTTTCACCAAAAGCACTTTCACCTATTTTAAAACACTTCTAAATAAACTCTAAATTTTACTGAGAACCATAAGTACATATATAGAACACCAATGTTCGTAGCTCATAAAAACTATATTTTCAACATAAAATAAATTAATCTTACTGATCGTTTGAATCAAATTCACGGTTTTTGCAAGTGGGATTGCAAGGGTAAGGGCAATCAATATTTTTAAACGGAGTGCGGTCGTAATACCAGTCTCCAACTGCCTTTGCAATTGTCTGCATAACACAATAACACGTTTCAGTTTTTCATGTTAAAACCGAATGAACCCAAGATTGAACGAAGATCACGGTACTCTTACCGTCTTACTCAACATGGGAGAATCAGTTGCCAGCCATGTCTCCTGTGTTCCGATTTGGCAATGAGCGTAGCAGGAGTCGATGAACAGTCCGTTAGATGAAGAACTGCTCGCACCAGCTATTGCGTTTAAGAACTGTAACCTATATTCTGAAAATATATTCCAAGACGAAAAGACAAGTCAATTTTCCAGCAGACGTTTTTGTTTTTGCAATGTTGCAACATGCCAAAACCTTTTCTTGGTAAGATCCAACAAAGCTTCTATATATTGGAACTCGTGGACAGTGGTGCGAAGTGAACAGGCTGCTGGTATGAAGTGAAGGAGGGTTTTGAAATACCTTGCATGGTTTGAAGTTGACTGGGTGAGCAGTTCTTTATACTAAGCTTGCAATTTTTCCAGGCACCTTTAGGATCAGCAACACCCGGTGCCAAAATGTTCTTTATCTGAGAGGATACAACAATGAATCAGAAAAACATGCACCCTAACATACTCTCCGAATGTGGAAAAACGAGTAAACAACGTCTATATACATTTGAAGATCGAGAACTAGTAATTGTAGCTTGTTAGCATATTTCAGGTGACCTCTAATTATCATTCTATTCATAAATTGTAGAATAATAGGATAAAATGCGCATAAATTGAAAAAAAGATAATCTCGTTGTTCCTCTCGTCAAGTTCAACAAAGAAAGCATTATAAAATCTATCCTTGCAAAGTTACAGTAAAACAAAAGTGACTGTAAATTGTAAGTGTCAAGGATAAAAAATGAACCAAGAGACTCAATATGAAAGGCTACGGAGTAGGTTTTTGTAAGAAATTAGATAAAACAAAGTATACAAGGAAGGCATATAATTCATACAAAAAAGAAAAAAAGTTATTACCATTACAAACCAAGCTGTTACTCGATTATATATTCAGGGTCACATATACAGGATTATATGTCATTCAGGATTATATGTCATTGAACTTCAGGAAAACTACGTTCAATACCACAGAACAGTAGACTAAACTCGAAAGTACAGGATGCAATCAAGAATTAAGAGAATCAGCTAACCTGCCACGAATCATAAGCTGCATTGACAAAAAATATTGGTGTCCGGGTTTGGGGTACCACATTTTCTGGGAAGAAGCACTTCAATATTGTAGAACGAAATATCAGAAGTAATAAGGATAGGGCGAATAGCAAATCATACAAGAATATAAACACATACCAGCCCTGGACTCATTCTTGAAGTGCAGGATGCAGGTAGGTTCTTCGCCGAACCCTGCACAAAACATATAAATTATCAGCATTAGAAGCTAACGCTTATCACATGCACAGAACAGAGGCCTGAGAGAGATGCAATACATGTAGCGCAACCACTTCACTGTAAAAGGTTTGAATGTATTGTGATCCAGACAGAGTCTTCCTGTTAGTCATTATAGGGCTTTAGAAACTAGAAAAGTTTCTAAATATAATATTAGGTCAAGCTTTCATGACTAAAGATAAAAAGTGCGTGCGTAGCCCTTACGCATTAATGAAGTAACCAGCATCTGCTAGACATTTTACTTTAGTACCCACAGGTAGGAGAGAATGAAAGTTATCACAATGAAGAATCGAGGCCAAGCCGCCAGCCGAACAACCAGATAGAAGAGCCTGTCATCACAAGTGGTGGTGTTGAGCTATCGGCAGTGAGGAAAAGATGAAAAAAAATACATTTGTAGAATGGTCCATACAGTTTGAGCGTTTTTCATTCCTTTTGCCAATAAATCATCAATGATGGCACGGAAAACCCTTGCTCCTCTGAAGTGAAGATTTGTTGCCTGATCAAATTAGTTTTGATTAGATACATGTCATGTGATGGGAAAGCGGAGGGTTGAGGAGGTACAATAGACACCAGGTTTTGACTTTTGTATCAATTAATGTAAAACATGGGTTGCTCATTGAACCTTAAAAAACTTACTGGGTCTACCGCTTCAACATCACCAGTGAATGACGAGCCATCACAGTACCTAACTTTGATTCTATTCCAATTGTAGAAGTCTGGCATTGAAAAGAAAATTGATTTTTAGTGTTAGCCAAAAAAACAAAAAAGAAGAGAAAAATGAGAGCTGTGTTCATCAACTACTGAGTCATTCTTAAGATATATATTATTGTTTCGACAGTTTCACAGCAAGGCAAAACATTAATTGAGATACAAAAGCTATTAACGAGGTACAAAACCTAACCGAACCTGGATTAGTCTGTTGCTTGTTACCAAGAACCCCGGAAAAAGACATTGTCTTTTCCATTTTGGTTGATGAACCGCGGTAATTATTCTTGCGATCAAGGCAAGTTGCAACGCTGTTACACCATCCTCCACCCTAAGAACGAATATCAATGCAAAATTTTAAAATAACTAAGCTTATTAAGCTAATGAATCGTCCACCTAGTTACATGGACAAGAGAAAAAGGTTTAAGGTACAAGACCTCTGAATTCTGGATCAATATTTGACTAAAGTTACAACAGAGCTCAGATACAATAAATAGTTTTCAGTTCGTACTGAAAAGTTGGAGATAAATGGGTTTTAAGTTTAACATTCCCACCCTTATCATTCATCTTTAAAATCCATTTTAGCATGATAGGAAAAACACAAACCTCGATGTGAACCAACCAATTGTTGATTCCGGCACCAAATCCCTTGTCAAAGTGGTAAGCGGGTGCGCTCCCATCCAAACACACTGCATAGAGTGCCAAATTTAGAAACACCACTAAGATAAAACTCAAAAGAAACAGACATTGGAACAATGAAACTTTAGGTAACAGACTCAATTCTAATCAGTTGGCTGTGCGGTGTGCAACAGTATTTCTCACCAGCTCCTTTAGCGACTGCATTTTCAACGAGAGTGATTCCCACAGGGTGGCTTTCTGCTTTCAGCAATATCAGTAAACATACTAGAAGAGTTAACCATTGGCCTAATCTTTTACGGGCCATTCTGCACATACAAATTTTCAGCAATTAATATCCAGAGCATTTGCCAGCTTTAGTTGTAGACTCCACTACACAAACACATTACCATATGTTGTCAAGATCCTACGAATTTATTCTTTACTGAAAAATCTCTGTCTAAATCTAGTAAAGAATATGTCTCTATAGAGTCTGTATATTTGTTATAAATTTATCAAAGGTATCCTCCATCAGGGACGGTCCCGAATACATTTAGTTGAAAACGAATCCTCCAAACCGTTTTGGGCCAACAAAATCTTACCCTTGATCTTTGTACTGTCAAAGGATCCGGTTCCATCTGACCAAGACCATGAATCTTTATCCACTCAATGCATAGAAATCAAATTTTAACAAATATATAGAAAGAGAAAAAAAGTACAAATCCAAAATATAGAAAGAAAGCAAAAATTTACACATTACTTAATCGTCAATTCCAAATCATATATTACATAATATTACTAACAAAATATATGAAACTGTATATAACTTTAAGCCATTAAGCTCAATCAGCTTGATGGGGTTTTATGAAAAAAGAGAACCCAAATTTCAAACATTGATTAAGCTCATATAAATACATGTCTTATTGTAATCCAGTTAGAACCACCAAGTTGCGTTATACAAATGAACACAAACTGAATCAAAGTTTTGATTTCTTAAGAAAACCAAGTGATAAGAGGAAACTAAAACAGAACAGATTTATCTGCTTAAAAAATAATAAATACAAAATACCAAAAAAAAGAAAAAAAAGAAAAAAAAAACATAGCATTTCTCCGTACTCTGTACCTGGTAATAGAGAATAATCTGAATGAGATGGTGGAAGAAAGAATGTGAGAGAAACCCAGTTGAATGTTTGCGCTTATTCTTCCAATTATATATATAATGTGTGTGTATGTATATCTTGTGTCAGAGTTATGTGAGATGTGAAGAGGAAGTTAAGTGCTTCCCAGTGAAGAGAGATTTTGAGAATATTTGTAGCAATTCTGGTGAAGAAGATAAAACCTACATTATTGGTCTGCTGAGCTGCAAAGGAGAGAGGAGAAAGAGGAAAGAAACAGCCAATGACTAGGACAAATCTTGTCGGTGTACGCGTGATTCATTTATTGTGAAACCACCTACATGAAACAGGTTCTTCGTCGTCCTTATTGTGGTATCCAGTTTTAATAAAACAAGAGGGTGTGCTTTACTTCTCACACACCCTTGATAATTTCTGTCCGTTGATCTTCTTCAATTCATTCGATCCGACAGCCGAAAATTAAAAAGGTGTGTGAGAATTAAAATAGGGTGTGTGGATATCATACCCCTATACGTACAAGTTTCTAAGCATATCACACTTTTACTAGTTTTGAGACAATGAATAAGTTATATATAAGTTGCTTCCAAAGGACTAAGATCCTCTTTGAACTTTACACTCTGGAGCTCACGGATGAGAAAATTTGGACGGTCCAATTTAAATTTTGCAATTCCCATTTTGGCCCACTTCATATGGATTTAGGAATTTAGACCATTCAATCTAAATTGTGCAATCCAAATTATCGGTCAATGGGCGTTTCTAAGGTGTGGACAAAGTGTGCGGACAATCCGTGCATACAAGGATCTAATGGCTAAAACTGAATGAGTTCACGAGTAGAACTGGGTCGTTGTTACCCAGTGCATTTAGAAAATTTTTTTTTTTTTATAAAGTTGGCATGTTTTTGTATGAGGGAGGGAAACAAGGAGCAAGCAGGAAAAAGGGGTTGGCTATTGCGCGCGTTGAAGAGAGAAAGAGAAGGGAAGAGAGGCAGAGAGAGGAAGCTGGAGTTTGGAACGGATTTGAGGTGGATCGAAGTTGAGTTGCAGCTACGACCCAGTAATCCCTTAACTTTTTTGTTTTTGTTCAGTTGATGTGTTTTTGACGACAAGGGAAGGGTAAATTAGGGTTGTCTCTGCCAGGAAAGAGGGACAGAAGGGTAAAGAGAGAGAAGTGTTGAAGGGTGTATGTATGCACTTGATTTTAGCGGATTGAAGCTGTTGGATTAGAGTTGACACAGTTGGTTCATCCACAACCCCAGAAGAAACCCAGATTGTGAAGGTGAGTGTTTGAATAATTGCAGAATCTATGTTATAATGCATTTCCATTCCAGTGTGGTTTATTTATTTTATTTTATTTTTTATAAATCTAGGATTTGAAGCCATAATGGTGGGTGGTTATCAGTGGATTTAGTTGAAATTGTGAAAGTGGATTTTAGATATATAGGTGTAAAAGTTGTGCTGACTTGTGATAAGTTGTGTTGTACTTGTGTAACTTTGTTGCAGGTCAACATTGAAGTATAATTCGATGGGGGGTGATGTACAAGTAGAAGAAATTGTTGTCGAAAAAGAGGATGTAGATGCAAGGGATGAATTAGATGCAGGGAGGGTTGAATTTGTGGTACCAAGAGTAGATGAAGAGTTGAAACCCAAATTGAGAATAAAGTTTGATTCGTTAGATGAAGGGTATATAGCTTTTACAACAATTATGCACTTACAGCGGGGTTTGGGGTTTAGGATTTGGGAGCATAGTAGTCAAAAGTCCATTAATGGTGATGTTAGTTAAGGAAAGAATTTGTTTGTTGCAAACAAGGGAAGAAAAGGGAGGATGGTAATCCCAAACATAATAAGAAAAGAAAAAGGAGAGATGCTAGAACTTAGTGTAAGGCGAAACTTTTATTGAATAGGGGCAGTGGTTGTGAAAAGTTTGTTGTAACAGTTTTTAATGAAGGACACGACCACCCTATGTCAAGTGCGTCACACTTATTTAGATCACACAATTGAGTTTTGGAGGCAAAGAAAGCAATGATTGGACAATGCGCAGAGGCCAAGTTTTCCATAAGTAAACAAGTGGTTTTATTGGAGGTGCTAAGTGGAGGAATTGGAAATATTGGTCGCACCCCTAAGGATATGTATGACGCAGAACAGCAATTGCGAGCTTTTCTAATTGAGCATGATGCCGAAATGTTGAAACAGCATTTTTAGGATGAGAAAGAAAAAAAGCAATTCGTTCAATTTCAAGATGGAGATTGACGAAGGCGAAACACTTGGGAATTTCTTTTGGGCAGATGCTAAGTAACAACGTGTTTACAGCCTTTTTGGTGATGTGATTGTGTTTGACACCATTTTCAACACCAATGTCTATGTGATGATGTTTGCTCCTTTGTTAGGAGTTAATAACCACGGTCATACCACGGTATTCGGTTGTGCACTCTTGAAAAATGAAAAAACCTAGAGCTTTGAGTGGTTGTTTGAAGAAATGCTTAAGGCTATGTCGGGTGAGCCGCTGAAAGTCATAATTACGGATCAAGATAGAGACCTAGCAAAGGCTATTGACAGAAAAGTACCAACCACGTTTCACTGGTACTGCATATGGCATATTAGTAACAATTTCATTAATAAAGGTTGGGTTAAGGGCGCTTTCAAGGATTTACCGGATTGCATATGGGATATTGAAAGCAAAGAAGACTTTGAGGCAAGGTGGACGGTGTTGGTAGAAGAACATGAGTTGGTTGATAAAATGTGGCTTTAGGACATTTATGACTTGCGTGCACAATAGGTTCTTGCATTTTGTAAGCACGATTTTTCCGTCAGATTGTCGAGCAGTCAGCGTGCTAGGAGTTGTCATTGTTTTTTTTTTTGCAAGCCATATGTGCACATGAAGCACTATTTGATTGAATTCATCATTTGGTTCAATCGAGCCCTTGGATGGAAACATCAGAAAAAGGTGGTTAGTATTATAATGATGAAAATTATGCCCATCCATTCCAACTTCACACGCTAATAGAAGATCAAATGGCCAAATTGTACACACAGTTTACATTCAAAAAGTTTCAATTGGAGGAATTGAAGAGTTGGACTTGTTTTTTGAGAGAGCAGTTTGGGGAAGGCAATGAGGCAGCGTATGACGTACTTAAGGGGGCTACGGGGGTAGCAAAGATGAAGAGGTTGGTGTTTGATACGACCTCAGGTTACGCTAAATGAAGTTGCAAAAAGATGGAGTTTTGGGGACCTTCTTGTCAACACATATTGGCGTATTTGAGAATGAAATAAATAGAGTTTTTGTCGGAACGTTACATGCTGAAAATGTGGTTTAAAACTGCCAAATGCAACATTGCTTTGGACATGGAAGGGAAAGAAGTGGGCAAAGACGTTGACAATTATACTGTGTCCAAAAGAGCTCAACCTTCAAAAAAAGCTTCAGACTTGATTGGCAAGGAGGTGATGTCAGAGGAAGGTGCCGCTCTTCTATCCCGGACTTTGAAAGTGTTGGATACGAAAATGAACTGTTAAGGTGGTGGTAACTGTGGTCGAAAAAGAAAATAGATTGGACAGGGAGGCAAGAGTTCCCAAACTAAGGTGCTTAAAGATCTCATTCAAGTTAAAAGAAAATGGGCGTTGAAGACAAGTACAAAAGAGAAGTGAAGTCAAAATCGGAGACTCAGGGGTGGGAAGACGAATTGTCCATGGCCAGACATAAGGTACGCAGCGTAATGAAATGAAATATCACTTATGGTTTGGTTGACAATATATTTGTGGTTGTAATATTTGAAACAACCTTGGATTGCTTTGTAATTGTCCAGTTTCTGCCAAAGTGAGCCCAAAGAACACATACAGGTTACACCGAGCCCCGTTCCTAGTGATGTTACCAGGTGAAATGAAGCTGCTAACCTTGAGCCTAATTCAATGCCAACCCAAAGCAGTAACACTGAACTTACGAGTAGTAATTTAAGAGTGCTTGATGATTTTTACGAATATATAATGAATGACCATTACAGAGGGTGTGAAACTTAAATTGTGGCTATTCATTTTGTATACAAGATGTGTTAACTTTGCAGGGGAATGCATTATTATTTACCTTGGCTACAGTTGGTTTTTCAAAGTTTGTGTTGGTCAAATCAGCGATGGAATGTGTGATTAACTGTGGGTGATATGTTAGGAGATCCTATGAATATTTGTTAATGCATAGGAAAGTCTATGAAACTTATACTTGCAAGACTTACTTGAGCTTGAAATTACGATATAGTTATAAAAGTCCCTAGAAAGTGTACATAATTAGGATGGGAGCAAATATATAGGAAGGAAGATATGAGGCTAAGCATTCGTGGGTGTGTTGTGAGTCGCCTTCACGTAATTGTGTTCGGTGTACTCACCACCATCTCTGATGATGTCTTCCATTTGCGAGGCCATAATGCAATCTCAATCATATCCGGACCGAAGTTAATGAAGATAGGAACGAAATTTCTCAAACCCATCATAAAAAGCGGAGTCACACTCTTCTTGGAGCTGCTTTGTTTGCCATGAATACATTGACCTATGACGTACATCTTTCTTATCTTTTTGAACTAGTTCTTCATACTTACGCTTTCAGCTATGTATTAGGCGTTTTACTTTGTTGATTTGCACCACACCTCATTTAGCTGTCGCTGTAATGTAACCAATGTGGACTCCTTCTCGAGGCACTTTTGATGCCACTCATTGATTGAGCATGAGTTGGCAGAAAATTTTCCCTTTGATTTTGCAATTTGATCGGTTGGATCATCGGAATCACTGTCACTCTCCGCAAGAGCCATGACATGTGTGCCTAAACCATGGCTACTAAATTGTTCTTGCATGCATATTATAGATGGTCAATTTAGATATCATTTAATAGCACAACAAGCCATAAATGAATGGAAATGGATTGTCTATTTACAACTAGATTGTTAGCAATAATCCTTCCAATTCCTTACCCTTTTTTGTGTAACTACATTAGGAATGTATTGTGGACAAACCAAATGTTGTCCAATGACTTGTACTTGGTTTCCATTTGTAGATGATCAATTTAGATGTCATTAAATATGTGACCAACAAAGGTTAGATGGAATTGACTTATTCATGACTATCTATTGTAGGTATATAATGGCTTGTGAACAGTGGTGTTTAGGCTATCAGGAACTGAGTTTACAACTTCTTGTTCATAAA